GAGGAGGAGGAGGAGGAGAGAAGAATAAAGGGGGAGGAGGAGGAGGAGAGAAGAACGAAGGGGGAGGAGGAGGAGGAGGAGAGAAGGAGAAGAAAGTAGGTGGAGAAGGAGGAGGAGAGGAGAAGAAGAGGACAAGAGGAGGAGGACCTGCCAGTAATGTATGGTGATGACGGAAAGAAAAATAATAATAATAAGAGGACGATGAGGGAGGAGGAGGAGGAGGAGGACGAGAGGAGGAGAGAAGGAAAAGACTGGAGTACGTGGAGGAGGAGGAGGAGAGAAGAAGAAGAAGAAGATGGAGGAGGAGGAGGAGGAGGACCTGCTTCCGCTGCCCGTAGTGTATGGGGATGACGGAAGAAACAAATAATACTAATAAGAGGACGATGAAGAAGGAGGAGGAGGAGGAGGAGGAGGAGGACCTGCTTCCGCTGCCTGTAGTGTATGGGGGTGACAGAAGAAATAAATAATACTAATAAGAGGACGATGAAGAAGAAGGAGGAGGAGGAGAGAAGGACAAGATGAAAGTAGGTGGAGGAGAAGGAGAGAAGAAGAAGAAGACTAGAGGAGGAGGAGGAGGAGGAGGGCTGCAGTCTGCTCGGTTCAATTTTTTTTTGGGGCATGAAAAAAAAAAAAGAGGAAAGGGAGATGGCAGGCAGCGGGATATGGCGGACCATATAATATGGCTGGCAGATGTGCGAAATGGCAGGCTGTAGGATATGGTGGAGGAAGAGAGGATGAGGAAGAAGAAGATCAAGAAAGGAGGAGGAGGAAGAATACGAAGATGAAAGGAGGAACTTCAAGAAGAAGAAGACGAGAGGAGGGGGAGAAGAAGAAGAAGACGAGACGAGGAGGAGGAGGAGGAGGAGGAGAGGAAGAAGAAGAAGAAGACAAGACGAGGAGGAGGTGGCGGAGGGGAGGAAGGAGGAAAGGAAAGGAGGAGAAAGAAGAAGCAGACTTGGAAAAAAAAAAGACGAGAGTTGGAGGAGGAGGAGAGAAGAACGAGGAGAAGGAGGAGGAGCTGCCAATTGTGTATGGCGATGACGAGACAAAAAAAAAGGCCGATGGAGGAGGAGGAGGAGGACAGAAGAACGAGGAGGAGAAGGAGGAGCTGCCAGTTGTCTATGGCGATGAAGAGACAAAAAAAAAGGCCGATGGAGGAGGAGGAGGAGGAGGAGGCGAGAAAAGAAGAAGACGGAATGAGGAGGAGGAGATGAGAGGAGAGAGGGAAGAAGAAGACGAGAGGAGGAGGAGAGGAGAAGAAGATGAAATGAGGAGGAAGAGGAGGAGAGGAGGAGAGGAGGAGAAGAAGAGAGCAGGAGGAGAGAAAAGAAGAAGAAATGAGGAAGAGAGAAGAAGAAGAAGACGAGGAGGAGGAGAGGAGGAGGAGGAGAGAAACGAAGGAGATGAAATGAGGAGGATGAGGAGAGAAGAAGAAGAGGACAAGAGGAGAGGAGGACGACAACAAAGAGAAAAGAAGACGAAATGAGGAGGAGAGAAGTAGATAAGAGGAGGAGGAGGAGGAGAGAAAAGAAGAAGACGAAACGAGGAGGCAGCGGAAGAGGAGTGCAGAAGAATAAGAGGAGCGAAGAAAAGAAGACGATGGGAAGATCGACGACGACGTGGCAGATCAATGATGGGCAGTGCGTTGGGAGCTCCACACAAGGAGGAAGAGGAGGTCGGCTATGCGCAGAGGGCACCTGGATGACGATGGGCCAAAGGCAGATCGATGACAGCTCGCCAGGGGCAGGTCGATGGTGGCGGGCAGCTCGATGACGACGGCAGGGCTTCAAGCTTTGTGCTCAGGGAGGACAATGTCCCGTTCAAATTTGAAAGCGGGGTTGTAGCCCGCCCGAGGGGATGGGACAAGGCCTTTTTCAGCGACTACTGGTCTTCGCAGATCAGCGGCTGGGATCGGTCGCCGAAAAAGGCCTGCCCCTCCCTCCTAGAAAGTCACATTTTTTTTTCAAGCACCAGGCATCTGGGGAGGTCTCCACTGGCCAAAAAGGCCTGGCAGTGCGCCCCCTGCGCGCAAAATTGCGCTGGGCCCACCTGGCGCCCAACCGGGGGACCCAACCGGGCGGGCCACCCGGGAGCCGTACCGGACGAAGGCAAGGCCGCCGGGCGGTCCGGATTTTAACACAGCTTTTTACGAGTTTTCCCTATTTTCCCAACACTGGCAGAGGTACCAGTGGTTTAAAACACACAAAAAAACAAAAAACAAGAGGAAGTGACATAGTGGGTACTTACTATCTTGAAAAGAAACTAGTGAAGCAAGCATAGAAATTAGTTAATTGTGCCGAAAATCTCTTGGTTCGGTTGGATAGGGCTGGACATGATGTACATGTAGAAGATGCGGTCAATTGACTCAATTGTCTTATTCGATACATGGTCGCAGCACACCGCTCTACTTTATGAGCCATGCTGGTTTCTGCACCCTCTCCTTTCCGTCTTCCGCAGGGGTTGTATTTTAATCATGGTCAGATCATAGGGTTGCTCAGGAGTTGGTACCTTTTTGCACCCTGGCAACCACTGGCAGTGACTTCTTTCTTTTTTTGAAGTGGATAGTTAATGTCCTTAAGGATGACGTTGTTTCATCTTCTCTGTTTTCCATAGGAAATTTAATGTCGGGATGTCTTCTTTTCACGCGTCGTGCAAGTTTTTGAACTTGTTTTCGCGTTTATGCTCGCAATCTCGTTGCGGTGGTTGGCTGGTGAGCCACCTTGGAAGCATCGTGGGCCTCCTCAGAATCCAATTGCCCTCGCAGCCCCCCGTTTAAGTATATCAAGACCAACCATTTGAAAATCACTGCTACATTTGGATGTTGAAACCCTCCCCACAAAATTTCACACCGTACGTCGTACGGTAATGATATGCTTGAACTCGTCTCATAGTGCAGACAGAAGCAACTTCCCGTGCAAGACCAGGAAGTGCTATCCAATATCTCTGACTCGCTGTGAAATTGTGTGAATGTTGTCCCGTGCAAATTGCAACCATTCGAGCTGCAAGCCATTGTATGAATTTGTATCCGAGCTGCAGAAGCTATTGTATCCGGTTTCTAGTCGTATAATTGTAACATGTATTCATAGGTTGCTGTTCGTGAACCCATCTGTCTCCAGCATTCCAACTTGCACTCATCCATACTGCAGCACACCTGCATATCCGCAGAAGGGAGGAAAGAATCGGTGTGAGCAACAGCCCCACTCACACTGATACACATTGGCAGATCTGAACTGAAAGGAGTCGCCTGCAATCACTGGAGATCACCACAGACGCAGATATGTGCCGCACTACATTACACGACAGATATACAAAGCCACCTCTGGCACGTTTACTCAAGTGTGGTGTACCCTGTACTATGCTCGTGGAAACAGAGGGGATGTGAATACAACATATATAATATTAAACGGACGAGGTTTACAAAACCAACAGCCTTACCTCAGCAGGTACACCCATGGCCTGTTAGACCTGGTTTGGAATCCAGATGGTTTTTCATTTGTTTCAAGGATTCGAAGAGATTTATAAACATAAATGGAAGATGTTCTTGGTCGTGAAAGGCCAGAGCACTGAGCAGGAGTTGGCGCAAGATGATTAGCTTGCAGCCTGTTAATCGTTGTGTAAGGCCGCAGCAGTAGTTGCCAGTTGGAGCAAGATGACTTGCCTGCGGCCTGTGAAAACAGCACATCTAGTTGAAGACTAGTTCTCATAGATTCTGAGTGGCACGGATTGTGTACGTAGCACTTTTAGCAGGCAGAGTGTGTGTGTTCTACACTCTGTCACTAGAACCCCTTTTCCACCCACATGAGGGGATCGAAAACTGAAACAGCGACAAAGGGCCTGGCGCAGTTGATACACCCAATGATTCAGAACTGTTGAAACACAGACCCAAGTTCGAATCCAGCTGCGATCAGATGAAAAGAATAAAGTGAATCACCTGGAGGCTGGAGCCGGCCAGCTCAACGATGATATCTCAATGCCATCGCCAAGGCTCTTAAAAAAAGGGCAAGAAGGAATTCAAACAGCTTAAAGTTTACCTTACAGTTGCTTTTAAGGTATACATGATCATACTGTAAATGATTCTGTTCTGATGAAAAGCGAGACTCAGTTTGGTTGTTGTATTCTGAGAAGTGCAAGGTCCACCATATCTGTGGACTTCAGCGTGGAACACGTACACACCTGTTCACTTTTTAGCGCAGCTGCACCTTATATTCTGTCTGTTGACTCTGTTCTCTGAATGATCCTCGTTCGTTTGAGGTCAGTAGTCCTGCATGAGGTGAGGGAGGAGGGAAGAGGAACAAGGGGAAGGGGAGGGAGTTGGGTGGAGGAAGCATACAGAACTTGGGCAAAAGACAAAACCTCGTACTAGGGTCCTCGTCGACTCCTCGATACTCACCAGCAGAGCAGAGCAGACTGCTACAAAATGGCAAAGAGGACAGTCACTCATCGGGCTGCAGAGAAAAAGGGACGATTCAAGCAGCAGGTGTCGTCGCCATGGTAAAGTGGCCTCCCATCCAAGCAGCGCAAGGCAGATGTCATAGGCAACATGGCTCCCACACTGCATGAATTGGCCGCATTGCTAGGAGTGCAGAGGCACACTAACATCAGTTTTAGAGGCGCTGTCATTCCAGCCCTTGTCCACAAAGAGGACATACTATCCTATTGTAGACGGGTGGAACAGTCGACATTCTGCTCATGTACGTACCCTAACAGGGTACGTGACCGTACGTCCTAGCAACGCAGAGGCACACCGACCGCAGTGCCTATAAAACTGCAGCCGCAGTGTGTCCGTGTTCCTGGGACATACCCTGTCTATAAAAATAGGACATACCTTGTCAGGGTCCGTACGTGAGCAAAATGTCGACTGTCATCATACATATGAAAACGATAAGACTTTCTTGGGCTTGCGCTACACCCTCACCATCCTCACATCGCTCACGAGGCAGAGCATCATGCCAATCACACGCTGACCGAGTTTCAGGCGGCGCATAACAGTGCGGTCACCGTGGTGTGTTGCGGCTTATCACCATCACAACCCCTCACAATCCTCACATCGTTCACGAGGCAACGCATCATGCCAATCGCATGCTGACCGAGCTTCAGGCTCTCGCATAACAGTGCGGTCACTGACTCGCTGCGGTGTGTTGCGGATTGTCACCATAACAGTTCGGTCCCATTGACAGCACTTCCATATTCACATTTGCTGCAGAAAAGTCATCGTCCAGACTAACATTGCTGTGTTCCGGTTCTATCCAGCGACCTGTGTCTTCAAAGTCACAGACAGTACTTAGTCTACTGGGGTTACGATTATGCTTTTAGTCTAGTGGGGTTTCGATTATACTTAGTCTATTGGGGTTGTTGCGATTATGCCTAGTCTATTGGGGTTTTTGCCATTATGCTTAGTCTACGGGGGTTGCCATTATAAGCAAGAAGCAAACGATGTCTAGGAGTTGCAAGTATAAGCACGGAGGCATCCATTAACGATGTACTATGACACCAACCTCACCATAATAGTATATAATACTGTAATGTTATTAAGCTCCACAGGTTGCGCAGGACGGGGGGGCCGGGGGCGCCAGGGGGGGCCCGGGGGGAAGATTCCCATCTTTGCAGTCTCTACCAGGCACTTCTGGTTGAAATACTGCTGGGGCTGGCCGCCATCATCAGGAGGCTCCACGCAAATGATAGATCATAGAAGGGAGTTTCTCCGTGTTTCATGGAATGAGGGGAAATGGTGCTAGCCGCCGTAGCCAGTTGTAGAGAAGACAGTCACTGGGTTGACCGAGGTGAGATTCCCATCTCTGCAGTCTCTGGACTCTCCACCAGGCACTTCAGGTTGCAACGACTCCACTCATACAGAATGGTGCTGCAGGGACGGGTGCCATCAGAAGGGAGGCTCCAGCAAATAAGGTTCGCGGAAAGAGGGGAAGCAGTGCTAGCCGGTTGTAAAGAAAAGTGAGTTGGCCCAGGTGAACTGAGGGAGGACTGGTGGGGGCCGTCGACTCCAGCAGGAGGCAGCAGAAGGCTAGAAGCTGATAATGCAGAGGGCTCATTCCCAGGGTAGCTGACGGTCATGCAAAAGCTGTGCCGGTGGCAGCATCGCGGTGCTCCGCAGGGCCTAGTATCATGATAAACATAATCGCCGCACTGTGGACAACAGACTCCATGTGCTGTTCCTGGCCCGCGTGTACTGAGGACAGCGGGCTCAGCAGCGTCTCTCTCTAACATTGTGGGGAGGCGGCGGGTTAAATCTCTGACCCCTGCTGCAGGTGCAATCGGCATGACTATTGTCCATATATAGAGTATATGCATACAAAGGTTATTGTCTGGGTCCTCTGGGAGATGGTGGTGGAGGGGAGAAATGCCTACATCGTAGAGATAGCTGACAGTGTGCGTCTGTGACAGCCAATCTACCATGAATGACTTGATGATGGTGATGATTTTCTGGGAAATATCGGAATCTGGATGGAGAGGAGAGTGTATATCTGTGTGTGACAGTGTCCGTGTGTGTGTTTGACTGAGGAGAACCGCTGCATTTGCAGTGCGGCTGCTGCAGCATGCTGCGACCACTTGAGCGCCCTCACAAAGGGATGCAAAACAAATCCGCAATCGGTGTAGTAAAGCAAGGTCTGCCATACCATCATAACAAAACCCGCCTGGACAACAGAGAGCTGAGAGAGGAGAAAAACACGTATAATGAGAGACCGTCAGTCTGAGACTCACAAAGCCATCATCAGGCTGAACCCTCAGCAATATGCAAGTCCACCAAAGATACTTCAAGCGATAAACTATCTGCTTCGCGCCTGGTTGCAAGTGGGCAGGCAGGCCGACAAAGAATAGGCAAGTAAGAGTGTCAGCAGCAAAGCACGGGGCACCGCAACGCCATCGTTTAGAATGGTCGTGAGTGGGCCGGCAGGCCGACAAAGAACACAGGCATCTGAGGCAAGAAGCAGCAAGACAGGCAAATAACAGTGTCAGGCACTGTAAGGCAGTGTCAGCAGCAAGGCACGCAGCACCGCCATGATGATGCAAACAGCGGCAACACGCAGGGGCAAGAGGATGGGTGCTGAGTAAAAGGCAAATAGTGCAGTAAGCGGCACATAGATGCAGAAAGCAGCAGAAAAAGCAGACATCAGGGAAGACGTGCATCAGCAACTGACAGCAAGGTAACAGGGATATGTGGCAGCAGCATCTCAGGAAACCATTCACCTAGTAGGCTAGTACCGTCTTACCCCAACACCACGCACCCTAATCATTCTTTCTTTCTCGTTTTTCCATTTAAAGGGCAGCAGGACGCACCCTAATCATGTATACAACCTACTTTCCCGGTGTGATCTAGTCATGATGAGGGTGCGTGGTGTTCGGGGGAAGACGGAAGTCCCACCGTATTATGGGAAACTAATCAGAGTCTCCGATACACACGCTTCCCTCCAGAGCGAGGGAGAAACAGACCAAATACCTATCAGGCTGTCACCACCAAGAAACACAGGCATCAGACGCAGACGAGCGCCCCCAATAGTGCAAAAGACACTTCCATCAACGACTTCCAAATTATTTGGCACATATTGAGGGTGTGGGTCAATGGCTCTGATCAGAGTCTGATGAGCACGGCAGAAAGAAGCGCAGCAAACACAATATACGCAGAACACGGAGGGCAGGAAGAACTAACAAATAGTATGCATGTTTGCTTAGACCCGTGCGTGCTCAGCCTCAAGGCTCCTTCCAGGAATGTGGAACATATGTGGTCTCTCATTGCATGCATGCGGGTGACATCTTTGTTACTACCTTCGACTCCACCTCACAAAGCACACTAAACACAAGTGCGACTGTACGTCAGAGCGGCTTTAAGTTATCACCTACCCGCACCACATGCAAGACTCCAGCGACTATTGTTTCACACGTACTTTTCAAGTCTCAACTCGTGGCATAGGGCCTCGGCCGCCTCGCTCTACTGCTCATCAAATGTGCCAAATGCGAATGAATTCTCCGCTACAACATGGAAAGACACACTGGCATAACTAAGATAACTTGTCTTTTGTGTGTGTGGTTAGTAGTGGACCTGAGCCCGTAGACCCCGAGGATGACAACGAAACAAAATTCTATCAAAACCCGAAACACTCCAGACGCGCACCCCCGATAACAATCTGTATAGGGAGTTTCGCCGATATAGACCTAGACCTATAGCTCTCCCTGCTGCCTGAGATACACCCACGCTTTTTGCATGCGGTCACTTGGGGCAGCCACAGTCATTCGTACGTGCCATGCAGGTAAGCCGGCGCAGATGCAGAGTGACTCAGTGACTGAGTGACGTGCTGAATGTCACTCGAGCGGGCAAAGTCCAGCTTCATATCGATATCTAAGAACAACCACTCTCCTTACAAACCGGCAACGCTGTCGCTATACGATGAAAAGGTGAAGCGGAGGAAACATTGTATACTACGGTGAATGGGCGTCGCCGCACGGGACACGAAACGAAAAACGAAACGAGTGCATCTTCCTGCAGAAAATGGCCAGGTTCACCTGTTTGCTATAAATAGTAACGAGTGTATTTTGCCACCTTTCGTGGGCAGATGCACTCGTTTCGTTTTCAATGCGGGTCGCCATTGGTAGTCACTTGTGTTTCGTTATGTCCGCTGAACACAACTGCGGATCAATGCGCGATTGTGGTTTACTGTCTTCGCTAAATAGTAAACACACATTTCATACGGAAAAACAGACTGACTTCGCCGCACAAGAAATTGGACGTAACCCAGTGCTTTTACATGACAGCAGAGCAGATGACACAGAGAGAATTGGACTCGTCCATACTCTAAACAATTTCTCAAATAAATCGGAATGTGCAATTTCGCAAATAAATCGGAATGTGCAAAGAGTAAACTCTCACCGGGCATAACCCTAAATGACTGAATCAACACCAACCAATGACTCTCTCTCTCTCTCTCTCTCTCTCTCTCTCTCTCTCTCTCTCTCTCTCTCTCTCTCTCTCTGTGTGTGTGTGTGTGTGTGTGTGTGTGTGT